GGGAGTTTAGGCAATGTGGGCATTTGGAGTTTGAGTGAGGAGTGTGGAGTGAGGTTGAGTACAAAGCAAAAATATAAAGTGCACTGCTTGACTGTCCAAGAAGCTAAAGACGCAAGCTTTTTCAGCCTTTACAACGTGAAAATGAAGAAAAGAACAACAAATAGTACTATAGTACTTGGTATTTCTTACCATATTGTGCTTGATTTGATTGATTATTGGTCTAACTCTAACTCTAATTTTCTACATATTGGAACATAGAATGTGTAATTTAATTGTCTATACATAATTTAGATGATAGTTAAATGGTACTTAATAGTATAATGTTCAATAATTTTTGTTGAAATTTAACTTTACATGGAAATCAAATAAAAAATATTAATTTTAATTTATTTTATATTAAAATTTAAATTTTTTGTAATATTGAATCAATACTAGTTGTTATTAATTTAAAAGTAAAATGATTAAAATTAATTTAAAATAAAAAATTTTATAATTTCAGAATAAATGAAGAATAATAAGGAGAATTAACTTAAGTCTACCAAACCAAAACCAAGATTTTATTCCCTAAAAATATGAAAAAAAAAAAACAAAAAACCATTTTTCCTTCTTTCTTGTTTGAAATTTTAGAAGAGCAATGATAACCTTACATGTAGGTACCAAAAGCCATCTCTCACAACAAACTAAACCACCACGTGGCATAACTCAAAGCGGACCCAAAGCACAAACAAACACCACCCTCTAAAACGCCACCACCACCATAGTCTCCTGACTTTCTGCACTCTCCATCTTCCTCCGATCGACAACTAAAGAAGAAGAAGATAAAATGACGGAGGCGGTGATAAGGAATAAGCCGGGAATGGCAAGCGTGAAGGACATGCCGATCCTCCAAGATGGGCCTCCACCGGGTGGTTTCGCCCCGGTCCGATACGCCCGCCGGATACCCAACAAGGGCCCGAGTGCTATGGCTATCTTTCTAGCTGCTTTTGGTGCCTTCTCTTATGGGATGTACCAGGTCGGCCAAGGCAACAAGATCCGCAGGTTTTCCCTTTTTTTTCTCTCTCGATAAACCCTTAAATTTCTCATCTTTTCTTGATTTTCTAATCTAGTGTTTTATTTATTTTCAAATTACACTGATTTTTTTGTTAAATATTAAGCTGTTTTCTTTTTACTGGGTTTTGATGGAATTGAAACCTTTTTTAGTTCATAAAAGGTAGGAGATTGGATTATATCTTGTTCTGTTGTCTAACTTATGTCTGGGTCTTTCTTTTTAGTTGTTTTTTGGAAGTTAAAGATGGAATTTTTTATTGTTGGCATTTGGATTTTGAATATCCTTTCAAATACAGCTGAAAACGTGGAGTATTATAGTGATTATTAGTTACATATTTGTGCCAGTGAGGGTCTGTTCTTTTCCAACCTAGTATCAAGTAATGGAACAGAGGATTGTAGGGGCGCTTATTATTTGATTGTTTCAGTATACGATTTTCTTTTACATTTATTTACACTGGTGATGGGGGAATAGGATGCAGTCGCTTTGGGGATTAAAACTGATAATTTGGAGGCAATTCGTTTGGGCTATCACTCTTTTAATTTGGTGTCCTTATCATGTATGATCTTGAGTAGCATCTTATCGGTTTTTGTTTAATAAATGGCTGTGTTGGGTCTGGATTCTTATGATTGGTAGTTGTTGGTTTTGACTTTTGATTATGCTATGTACAATAATTTGCTGATCAGGTTTAGCTGGTTATTTCAAATGGCTTTTTGCATGCAAACTATGAAATAGATGTGAATTACATGAATTGAAGTTGATATGAGGGAAAAAGCACAGACAAACTTGAGATACAACAGTTTGTTGACAGTGCTGTAATTTGGGCCTGACATATGGACAATGTATAACAATTTCAATAGCCAGCCTATGTGCTGAGTTTAGTTATTCCTTGCCTTTCACAGGGCCAAACAAGTAGTTAGTGAGTGAAGTAGGTGTTCTTTCATATATCCAAATCTTACATTTTGGTGTATCAAGACTGGCAATTGTGACAAGGATTGTAGAGATAAAACTAGTGTGTGCATTTTATGCAGAGGAGATTACCTTTGAACATGAGTCATTCAACATGATCTTGTTTTTGTGGGTTGATGATGATTTATTAATTCTATTGGTTTTTGTTGTCCAAGCATTTCTTCTAATGCTTAGTCTCCTGGGAATTGGTGTAAAATCATGAATGGTTAGTCAATTGTTCTGCGAAGGATTCATCTCTGGATTTATTGATTCTTAAAACCTTTTAATTTATGTTATTATTGTATCGAGCATAGAAACTTTTAAGGTGATTTTCTAACCGCATTATGCTACAGGTATAAATAGTGATGATATCAGCAATATATTAAATTGAATAATTGATCTCAAAGCTGTAGATTTGGTGGGGGTTCTGTATATCCTTTGTTGGCTTCTATTTATCTTAGACAGACTAGGAAATAAGGCTTCTAGATTGAAGCATGAACTATCTTTCTTTTCCCTTTTATGTTAAAGGGTCACAAACATGAAATTAATGCAATTATCCATTAGGTGCAAGATCTTATCTGGCTTTATCTTTTCTATGTTGAGATTTTTAGATTCTCTCTGCATTGTTAATTTGTAATAAAGTGATGTAATCAAAGTTGCATGCAAAAAAAGTTGAAAAATTTCGGGTCCTTTTTGTTTTGAGGATATGCTTTTGATTTACTGGTCTGATTTATTTGATTAAGATAAATAGTTTAACTATCATAGCATGGGATAATAAAGGCAGGATAAAACTTGATACTTCAAGCTGCATTCCATCTTTGTACACCTTTCTTTGATCATAGGTTGGTTGCATCTTTTGCACTTACCAAGCAATCCCTATTGTCAGAGGGAAGATGTTGTGCAAAAGGTGGTAAATTTTATGTACTTGGTGCAAGATTTTGGCTAATAGGATAGTCTACTATCATGCTTCCCTAAAAATTGATTGCTTTTCTCGTCATTTGTAGTATGCTTTTCTGAAATATGTGTTTCAAATTAAATAAACAGATTGAAAGTTGTGTTGCTTATTGATTTTGATTTTAGATATCCCATAGATTGGTCCTGGTTTATTTCCATTATTTTTGGTCATGCTTTAGTTTATCTTATGGGAAAACTAAATTTAATACATAGGCCAAAATCCAAATACCACTTTTTTTGTTTCTCTTGTTCCATTTTCATTATTGAAAATGTTAACATTTTGTAGAGCACTGAAGGAAGAAAAGTATGCTGCACGACGAGCAATATTGCCAGTGCTTCAAGCTGAAGAAGATGAAAGGTATTTTAACTATTCATACTACCTTATTAATTTCCCTGCTGAAATTTGTGAGTAACACCTTGCTTGCTTGCTTTCTGTCTTTAGATTTGTCAAAGAGTGGAAGAAGTATCTTGAGTATGAGGCTGAAGTGATGAAGGATGTGCCAGGTTGGAAAGTAGGTGAAAGTGTATACAATTCTGGGAGATGGATGCCCCCTGCAACTGGAGAGCTGCGTCCTGAAGTTTGGTGATACCTTTTTGTCAACCATGCTAGCTTTTTATGTTGCTTGGTGTTTTGCACATTAAGAGAAATAAAAGATTTGAACAGAAACTTATTTCTGTATGGAGAGTATTACCAGATATGATCATTATTTGTTTGCCCCCAACCTCTTCTTCCCATAACCTGAAAATGTGTAAGGAAGACTCTTTGTAACCAACTTATTTTCATGAAAATACTGCCATTGCCAGCTAAGTTTAGTAGGAAAGACATTCTATTTGGTGGGTAAGGTTTCAGTTCTTAATGTTTACCTAATAAAAGATTAACTTTTCGGAAGATCTTGACAATTCTTTTTACTGTTACAATACTATTTATGCTTTTATTACTGCTTTATCATGCAAATAGCAATAAGTTCAATAGGCATGTGATTCGAGTAGCTCATTATTGGTCAGTTGCATTCACCTGCCAATCGAAATGAGACTTAATTTCCATTCACTTGTTCAAACTTGTAATTATAAGAAATTGACTCCACTTTGTAAAATCCAAAAATCTTGAGGTCAAATTCAAAAGTTTTCCCCGATCACTTTAAAAGGAAAAAGATATTTTGACCTAATGGTTTTGGTTTTAACCATTAGCACGGTTTGTCAATCATTTAAAAAAAACTTAATAGTACATAAACATCTTAAACACAAATTCTCTCTTTGAAAAAAAAAAATTTACTCATCTTTTTTCTCTTCTAAAAATTTTAATAAAAAAATTTTGATATGCACTTTTTTAAATCTTCATCTTGATGATTTTTCTCCTGTTCTCTTCTGTTTTTTTTTTCTTTTTCTTTAGCTCTTCTAACTAAAAGAATTTTGATTTGAAAAGAAAAAATTAAATGCAAAGAAATTGATTATATTTCTTAACCACTTTCATTAAATTTGAAATATCCATCATAGAATAAAAATTTTACCTTTAATTCATTCTACTCAATAAAACAAATCCCCAAACGGTAGGAAAATTTAAAAATGTGATGAAAATAGATTTTACTTCAAAAAAGAAGTTTACGATTTTCAATTTCAAATTTCCAAGGTATTCAAATCAAATTTCTTTTTAAGATTTTTTTTTTGATAAAGATTTTTAGAAGAAAGATGAGTAGATGTTTTGAAATAATAATATAAAGACTATTTGTGTTTTAAAATAAGAGAGACGGTTTGATATTTACTTTAAATGGAATAAACATAGAATAATTATTTATACAAAATAAATGACAAGGTTCATAAGTTACATTCACATTTAAGATTAAGATTACATTTTTTTTAACATGTGCTTTACCATTTTTCCTTTTTTACTTCCTTAAGAATACACGTGGTGTATTATCTAGTGTCATTACTTCATTACTTAAAATTTATACTCTCTACTCAACTATATTGTCATTCTCTTAATATCTCATAAATCGTCATTTAACTACTTTTTCATAACAAGCCCGTTCTTTCATAATTAAACATATTCTTCCAACTATTTTTAAAAAAGTGACTTTTGCTCAATATAAATATGAGAATCTTCAAAATTAAGAAGTAATAAAAAATTATTGAAAACCCAACAGAGATTATTCTGAAAGTTCTTTCAAAATTTCTCTAAACATTCTTTTTATTCAACCTTTTCCATTTACCTTAATCTGTTGCTTTCTCCACCTTTTTTTCATCCCTCATCATCAGCCACCAAAGTACTTATGTTTTAAAATTGCTCCAGTCTTCTTTTTTATTGCCTCTAGCATATTTTGATTCATTTATTACAACACCTCATCTCTCTCCTTACCCAAAAAACCCTTTACCGAAATATATATATATATATATATATATAATCTCTTAGGATCTCTAGGTCCATTGTTATCATTTAGATGATGATACCTTCATCATCGGTCTCAATTTTACGCCAATTGTCCTCTAGAACTAATCCCTTGTGAGGCCAAAATGTAGGATTTCAGGTTTGTATAGCTCAAGATTACAAATTCTTTTAGAATTAGGAATAGAGGTATTACAAAAAGAGAGAACCGAGTACTTGTTTAACAAGGAATCGGTCCCCGCACATCAAAGAAAGGGAAAAACAATTTTGGGTTTTATATTAGAAAATAAAAACAAAAACTGAATTTATCCAAATTAACCAAGTTTGATGATTCAACTTGCCATGGAAGGAAACCTTCAGCTTGGGTGGAGAGAATATAATTTTGCCCAATGTATATTTATAGTATCTTTAGCATTGAATCACTTGTGCTAGCAAGTATTTGTAGTGTGATCACCTGCGTTATAGGCAAATATCTATTTTTATTATATATTTTTAAATAATAAATGTGTATATATTATTACTAATATTTATAATATATAAAATTTAGAATATAAATAATTGAAATTTTGTATTTTTACTTTATAATTAATATAATATTATTAACATTGAAAATTTTATCAATTATAATACCTCAATATCACAATAACACTCTTATATCTAAAAAAGTGAACCTTTTTTTTTTTCCTTTTTTGTAATAATAACAATAACTAAAAGAGCCAATTTGGCATAAAAAATCCATGAAACAGTTTCAATCCTCAACAGTCCTCTTGGAAACTATTCCCAATTTCAATTTCTATGTATCCTAGGTATTCAAACTTATATTTGGAAAGAGCTTTAGTCATAATATAAACAATCCCAGAATTTCAACTGCAATGTATACATACATACATATATATATATATATATATATATATATATATGTCATATGTGCCCTAAAGCAAGAAGCCTTGCTATCTTTGAATATTTTCGAGCATTGTTTCAGAGTAATTAGACACACTTAGTTGGGTGAAAAAAAAAATCTTAATAAAAAAAAACCCTATAAGAAATTTTGTTATGCATTTTCTCAAATCTCCATTTTGATGATTTTTCTTTTTCTTTCTTTGGATTTTTTTCTTTTTCTCATAACTTTAACTCTTTTAAATAAAAGAATTTTGATTTGAGAAAAAAAAGAAATAGGAAGAAATTTATAATATTTCTTAATCATTTTCATTAAATTTGAAATATTCATCATTGAATAAAAATTTTACATTTAATTCTTTCTTTTCAATGAAATTTTTTTTCAAACTGTCGGAGAAATAAAAGGTGTGATGAGAATAGATTTTACAACAAATCAAAATTCCTTTTTAAGATTTTTTTATCAATATTTTTGAAAGAGAGATGAGCATATATTTTTTGAAAAATAATATAAGGGGCATCTGTATTTTAAAATATTTATGTAGTATTGAATTCTAATTTTTTTAATTGTTGATTAACATTTTTAATGGTAAAAAAGAGTCAAAAGTATCATTTTTAAAAAAAAAAGGGATAGTTTTGAAATTTACCCTAAATTTGAGAGAATATAATTATTGTATAATATATAACTAGGAATTCAAGTTGTTTCTAATTTTCCATTGTTTTGAAGGAATAGAAGTGTACGGTAGAAGTTGACATTGATGTGTGTCCAAAAAAAGAAAAAAGATATCTTCCCATTATTATTTACGATCTCCCCTTTAATGAATTAAATATTTGGACTATTTTGTCATTAACATTTAGGATCTCCCCTATAATGAATTTAACTTAGGATTAAAAAAGGAAAACGAAAAGACTATGGCCTATTATTACTTGCTAATAATTAGCATTTGAGAGAATTAGAGCCATTTTTGCAGCATAAACCTTTAAACCACTGATTGAGAAAAATGCTGTGATTTTGGTGGAGTTCACCGGTTCCACACATGGCAAGTCCTTTTGTCCTCTTTTCTCATGTATTCTTTCTCTTTCCAAAGGTGTAAACGTACAGAGACCTTTCCATTTATGGCTCCTTCAAATTCTTCATATAAATTCTGTCATATGTTACTTTCATCTTCACCCAAAAAAACCCAAAACCAAAAAGGCCACCATTAACCATAGTCGCGGTCATGTCACATCAAGTCCGAGGAGCTGGCTTCTTTCTGATTTTCATCCTGGTGATATCCATGGCTCAACCAGGATTATGTTTCTACTGGAATTGGAAATTCCATGTTCACTTGCTGAACCGGTTGAGCAGCAATGCTCACCCTCTAATGGTTCATGTCAGGTCGGGAGACGATGACCTCGGGGAGCATGCTGTTTGGAGAGACGGTGATTTTCAGTTCCATTTCAAGCTCAACTTCTGGGAAACCACTCTTTTCTATTGTGACTTCACATATGGTAACAAGCACAAGAGGTTTGATATATTTGTAGATGGTGATTATAAATCTGAAAGCTGTGTGTGCAATAAGCCCCACAAAACTGTTTATTGGAGGGTCGAAGATGATGGTTTTTACCGCAGCTGTGATGATCAAAAGTATGTGAAGGTGCATGACTGGTATAACTCGTGAATGACCATCATGCACCATGCAAACAATGTTTAGCCTAAGAATAAGGTCCAAAACGTTTAGCCTTTTATATTTGGTAATGCAAAGTCTTAAATATTTATACATGTTCTCCTTTGGAATGACTGTCTTTCAGCTATCAATTGGGCTCATTTTGGTACAGTTTACCTCTTCATTTCCAGCAAAATTAAAGCGATTTGTTAGACAAGGAATTTCATTTTGCTTCTTAATTAGTTCCCTTATTTACAAGCTATAATTAAGTAAAATCTTGTGTTTTCCATGACACTAAAAATTTCAAAGAACAATGACCAAATGTCTAAAATTTGCAATCAGAAAAAGCTATATATATATATATATATAATATGAAAAGTTTAAGCAAAGAAAAATTTTACATTGTTGGTGTATACATGTTAGGCTAACTAATTCTCTTTGTATTTTTTAGGTATTATGCCATTAGAATTTGATTTCATGCTAAGCTATTATTTATAGTTTTATACAATTAATTGCATAAAATATAGGGAAATGTTAACCGTGTCTACATATAATTTACCATGAAATTAAATCCATGTAAGTTTATTCATTGTCATAGTTTTTTTTTTTTATATAATTTGCAAGTTAAGATTAGTATATGTAATGTCAAAGTAGGCTAATTAAAAACTAAGGGTTTATATTTTGATATATCATCAGTGTATAGAATATTAATATTTTTTTTTAAAAAAAATGTAAAATATCATACCTGCAAAACTATAAGGAAATTGTTTCTGGAAGGACAATGTGGATGGGATTTATTTTAGCAACAATAATTGAAATCGAGAGGAAAGGGTTAGCTGGTAATTATGTATATCAATGATTAACAAAATTATGTTATAGCCATGATTTTCAAATTTCATTTCATTTGTTTTTTTAAAGTTTATATTTGATATTCTATTGGTGTATAAATATTACATATTAGCAATGAATCAATATTATGATTTTGTTAATAAAATTAAAAGTTATAGACCTTAAAAGTAAGTACTCATAATTTTAAAAAATTTAATTTAAACGATTTTCAAATTTTTATCATTACACATTCGAAGACGATGGCTATAACAATTTTATTAATCATATATATATATATAAAAATCATAACCAGCTAAACCTTTCCTGCCAATTTTGATCATTGTCGCTAAAATAAATGGCATCCCCATTGGCTTTCCAGGAACAATTTCCTGTAGCTTTGCAGGTATGATCTTCTTCGCTTCTCTGGAAAACACTGATAGGAGTTATTCAACAACTTTTGAGCCCCATGTAAAGCTGCAAATGAAATGAGTTTTGGTTATAAAGCTATTGATGAACTTAAACTTAAATTCTTGGTCCTTCCACAGGGTGTGTTCTCCAAGATCATCCCTGGTGGAAATGGCAACGAATGATCCAAGGCAGAGCATTGTTTGCAAAGCCATTCACAATGTGAACTTTGAACCTGAAACGAAACAGTGGTTTTTCTTCTGCTTTAAGAGCTAATGACGTTTGAAGAATGCAAAATGCAATGCAATGAAAAAGGATGCAATGGAAGAGTTAATTTGATAATGTCTTTTCCATGACTTAATTTGTTGGTTAAGATGGGAAAATATGTGATATAATAAGAATGGGCAACAACAATAACATCTAAAGTTATTAAAATCAATTTCCAAACTGACTATAACATAGGTTTTATTAGTGGTTTAGATCCTCTAAACATTGAGATTATTCTCGGTATTGATAAACATCACTACCAGGCAAACCTTTTCACCCAGTTTTGATCATTGTTGCTAAAATAAATCCCATCTTCTTCTGCTTTCCAGAAGCAATTCCCTGTAGCTCTGCATGTGATAGTTTCAGCATCGTTCTTGAAAACACTGATATCATCCAATGACTTGGAGCCCCAGTTAAAGTCGCAAGCAAAATGAGTTGTCTTAAGAAAGTGTACAATGAATTGAAATCGAAATTCTTGGTCCTTCCAAAGAGTATGCTCTCCAAGGTCGTCGTCCCGTGAGCGGCAATGAATGATCAATGGCTTAGCATTGTCTGCAAAGCCATTGAGTATGTGAACCTTGTACCTTAAACGAACCATGACTTTATCTACTTCTGCAGCAGAAGCTGGTAGTGTTTGGAAACTGCAGCCTGCAAGAAAAAGCATGCAAAGGAAAGGAGCTAGAGCACTGTAAGACATGATTTGATTTGCTTTGCTTGCAAACTTATGTCAATTTGTTAATGGGAATTTTTGACTGCTTTTTGTGTGTGTTTTTTTTAAGCTGAAGATGAGAGGATTTATATGATTGAACAAGAACAACTTGAGAACTCAAAAAGAGTAAAAAAGTTTGTATATGTTAAGCCAGAGTAATACTTAGTTGGCAAAGGGCTGTATTTACTCTTTGTTTATGGATGGTTGACTAGGATTTTTTTATGTGACTTCCTGTTTTGGTGAAATATTAATGAGCAAACTATCAGTTATAGGAGATATCATCCTATTTTCCTTATGATAAATGTTAATGTATGTTTAATTAAGGCTTGCATGAATTTTTTAATGAATAATAAGAAAACAATTACTTTTTTGAATAGAGCCAAATGTCTTCAAGTTTCACATTTATTGGGTGGTGAGTTTTGGCCATTGTCCATAATTAATAATTATTATCATTTCTTTTTTGTGAGATGGAATTTTGGTTTTTATTTGATTAGTAGTTAGCCATTTATGTTGAGAATGGAAGGTATAATTATCCATCCTATGGGCCTTGGTTCCATTTCAGAACAGCAGAAAAACACGCCTGTTCAATCCTTTAGCTTAATTAAAAATGGCTATTTCCATTAAGAAATGAAAATTTGAAGGAGAATGGGAAAAATGAAATTACATTTAGGTTTGCATGACGAATTATCAAATTTCTGTTCTAATGGGGAGAGAATAAAGATGAGAATTACTGGAAAAACTGCATATATTGTAGTCAATATGTACATGAGAATCAGAGTGGAAAACACAGGTATAGACTATAATAACCCTAATGATGTAACTAATTCTATGTCTAGCATACCTATAAACAAGGAAGCAAATACCGTAAGCAGCAACCATAGCTAAGTATCATATATACTGCTACATACAGCACTTTTACAAGCAAAAAAGAAGATAGATCCAGTTCACCCTAAATCACCTACCAAATGCTTGAGGAGAGATATTTACACAAGGTGAAAGTAAAGGCCCTGTCCCACCTTTCTTGTCAGCATCCGGAACACTGGTGTAGCAGTAGAGGCAATTAGACATTTCCCAGCTCCAGTCCTGATTTCTAGAAACAAACATTCGGGGCCATCTGTTTATCCTAACATAATGCACCCTGATCTTTCCTTCACCAACAATACTAGTTACAACAGAATAACAGCATTCATGTCCACCCCAGACCTTGTCACCAGGATCTGCAGTTTGACTCCCATCTGCATGGAAGTAGCGGCGCATGAGAGGACCGGTGCCCTTCCAATAGGGATCAAGATTTCGCCAATATTCTGGAGCAGCCTGAGAGCAAAATGATATTGGTCAGATTTTAATCAATTTGGGTCATGAGAAAGGACTGTGTTTGGGCCTCACGCAGATTACAATATGAAAACATACATTAATATGAGGTTCAAAAATTAGTCAGGAATTCTGTCAACTGAGAGACAGTTGTTGGGGTATAGCATGAAATCAGTAAAGGTCTTCCAATTAGCACTTGCAACAAAATATGATGAGAATTGCAGGAAGCATTAAGGAATCATATTACATTCAGCAACAACATCTTATGAAAGCAGTAGCAAGAAACAAAGGGAAGGGAAATTCTTGTGACAACTTCAACTAATCAAACCTTCTACCACTAATGCATTTCTGGAGTATGAAGATCAAACAGTTCTGACTCTTGCTGAAATACGATAATGTAGCACATACCTTGTTAAAATGAAACTCCCATACATGATCACACAGATCATCCTTCATGATACGAGTCTGATCAAAGAATAACAAGATACAATCAGTGTCAATAGTGCCCCAAAGCACAACATTTGAATAAGTGTAAGTCAATGTCCAAGCATGCATATTTTTATGTGTGAAAGCGTCCATGGTATTCTTTGTACTACTTGAGAGGATAGGATTTATTAACTCACACGTTTGCCGTCCATGACAGATATTGAATAAGCGGCAAGCTTGGATAGTCCCCGGGCTTGGGATGCACGAGGTATGTGTGCCTTCCCATGCCACAATTCCTCACACTAAGAAAGCAAAGAAAGTTCTAGTAAATCTTTTTTGCAACATCTCCTTCAAATTGAAACTGCCACATTACATAATAGTTAAAAGTAGAAACAAATATAATGTTGCTTCACCACCGCAACACGCATGCCTCACCAGTGAAACTTGAATTTCAATAATTGAAGAAGGATTCAGATCATAGTTAAAGTCAATGAGAAATTGTGCAGTCAAAACATGAAATACAAAATACAGTAAATCCTGGTACAGTCTTCCTCATAAAGCAATGCTATGCGAAACTCATCAAATGATAAATAATAATCATTATGGTAATACCCAGATGCTGAAAGGCAATTAGCCAAGTAAGCTTCATTTTAATATAAAATAAAATTAGCTATGGCAGGTATTCATATGATACACTGGTTTAGATAAATTGCAAGCCAAAAAGCTGCATTGATTCAAAGGATGACATCTAAAGTCAGTGCAATCTCTTAGGATATCAAAAGTTATCAACTAAAAACAAAAACAATAAAATAAAACACCAACTAGCATGCTGTTAAAACTTTCAAGGATTAATCCAAAGACATGAGGCCATTAAAATCTTAACCTTACCATACTCAAGACATCATGATCTGTCTAGGCTAGCTACTTACCTTTTTCTTGAGCTATGCAATGCAGGTACATCCTACTCTAGGTCCTGTTAAGTGTTAGTCAATAATAATCTCATTTTATACAGAAAAAACTGAAAGGTTAATTTGTGAATAAGGAGACAGAAGAAACATACACAAGACAAAAGTCTTCATTGAGAATAACCTTCATTCCTTGTTTGCTGGTTGGAGACAGTAATTCACTACCCTTGTCTTTCTATTTTCATAGATGTGTTCTACTTTCATATTGTATGAGAATAACCTTAATTCAATTGTTAATAGAGTAGACAACATTCATGCAAAGAGAATTTGCTAGCATTCATTTTTGGCTTGTTTAGGTTAAGCTTCTCACACACAGATGATTAAGAACACTCAACGGTCCTAAATGACCTATTAACATTCTTAATTCGATTCTATTTCACCATATCCTCAATCACAATGTTCACCAGTGTCCAGATACTCCATAGGTCTCTAACTACTTTTGAACAACAGTGATTTTGTCATCCACATGTTATGGCTTAGTAAAAGTAACAAGTCACTACTTCCTGGCGCTATGCAGCGGAATGCCAAACAGATTCAAGAAATTCAATCTGTCGCAACCCATTGTACGCAGCTAGACATCAGTTGTTATGATCCATATCAACTCCTTCATTCCTCTACATAAGCACTTCGGCTGCTTTTTCCTTGGAAAATGCTAGTAAACCATGTTGATTAGCTGCCACCAGAGTGGCAAGATATAAGGTAACTTCCAAATTTTAGGCATTGATCCCTTTTTCAAGCACGTTATGACCAACCTAAAGTTGTAAATTATTCCACATGATGTCATTTGTTGTGCATTATGGAAAATCACATTGCAAATTTCCTCCACAGCTCCATCATCCTTGGAACAACCAATCATGTGCAACAAAATATGAGATTGTTCTCGCACATTTTTTATAACTTGCACAAAATTTTGTCTTTCATTTTCTTCATGACACTAATAAACATTACAATATGAGGTGTCTCAAACTGATAAGTGCTTCCTTATCTGCTGCAGGTAGTTAGGTAAATTACCTTTGAATATCTTATTTCCTGTAATTGCATTGCATGATCCAGATCAAAAAATGCTGAATATCTCAACTTGAACCAAAAGTCGCTAACTTCTACAAATTTGATCTAAACAGCTTTCTATTCTTATCCCCACTTTCCCCCTTTAAACTAAAATTCAAAAGAGGAAATTAACTAATAAAATGATAACTAAGAATGTACACAAAACTGTGAATGATAGTACCTTTCAAATACATTTAGCAACCACGAAGTACAATTGCCTCCAGATATGGAATAACCAAATAGGCATGAAGGAAAAACATGATCATAAACAAGATTATACGAGTCTTAAAGCTAAATTATCAACCAGTAGCTAAGCAGAAGAATAATTACAAAACAGAGCAACAGAACCAACATTACAACGATAACCCAACATAAAAGCGAGCAAAAATACAAATAGAAAACAAGTAAATGTATTTCAATTCAAACATATCATTGAAAAACAACATCCAAAACTCTACTTAATGGATGCAAAACTAAACCCCAGCTACACAAGCTAAAACCCAATTCCTAAAATTCAACAAAAAATGAATGAAGTTTACAACCTAATCCACATGCAATCAATTAACTAAATTCCCAAAACACCAAACCAGAAACTGAATTCAGAAACACCAAACCTTGGAGTCCCAGAGCCTATCACTGGAAGCCACACCGTGCCAAGCACGTGAAACAAGGAGAGACAGTGCCACGCTGCGTGCGTCCAGGCTGCTTAGTATCATCACCATCATGTCCCTTCCAAAAACCTCCAGTGGGTCCCTTGCTACAACCTCTTCTCCCTCATTTCCTTGTTCTTGTTTCTGATCTTCTGGGTCATTTTCTTCATTCCTTTTCCTCTTTCTTTTCTTCTTCAACCTCCTTTCTCCTCCCTCTTCGCCCATAACACTCCAGGGCTTTTCTTCAGTCTCCATACAAAAGAGTGAAAGCTTCGTGGGATGGAGTTAAAAGAGCAATGGGGTGTTCTGTTTTCTTGTGAGAGATTCAAAGAATGGTGAAAGGTAAAGGAAGAAGCATGTGAATCAGGCAACGTACATGCAATCGTGGGTGATGATATCACTTAAACTTGGATTCTATTGTTGACACGTGGACGATAGATTGTCCGGATTCAGGGCCAGTTTTGTGGGACCCAATGTTTACGTGGCAAACATCCGAATCTTAGCGCACGATGAATTAAGAACTTTGGGTCTTTCACTTTAGTCCTTTTTTTCTTCTTTTCTATTTTAATTTTAATATAATTTATATGTAAATATAACCTTTATGATTATTTTCTAAATTTTGTAAATTTATTGATAAATTTGAAATATTTATATGAATTTGTGAATTATAAATTCATTTTCTTGTAATTCTTGCCTATAATTTCACATATATAGATATATTGAATCTTCAATAATTTTGACATAATAAATGTATTTTATACTCACAATTCAGATAATAAAGAAATAAAAAATTTTGTATGAGTTCATTTTTGGGGTGATATTGAATACTTTGTTCGGTAAATATTTAAATAAAATTAAAGATAAAATTGATATTAATTAATAAATATATATTGATAATAGATGAAAATTAATTAAAAGTTTTTTACCAAAAAAATTAACTGAAATGAAAACAAAAATGCTATAGAATATACTAAAGATCCAAGTATTTTTTTAATTGTTTTGTCAATTTTTTATATTTGTTTCAAATTAATTAAACATAAAAAGGCAATAGAGAGAATGTAATATATATATATATATATATTATTTTTTTCACATATACTTTTTCTTTTTTACTATTAATTTTTTTTATTAAAATGTTGAAATGTTAAAAGAATTACGAACCCAATTCCGTATAAAGAACTAGGGTTTAACGTCAGTGAAAATGAAAGAAATTGGACGGAGTTAAATGTTTACAAGTCGTTATAAAAATTCTTGAAGGGTTTAACGTCAAGCAAAGCGAAGCAACTTTGAGGAAGATTTCAAGCAAAGATAATGAAGAGGTAAAAACAGAAGGAAAATGAGTAGGAAGTGTAGGATTTGGTGGCCGAAGCAGCTCTCTTCAACCCAACAACTTTCTTCCAATCTTCTTTTTGGCTGGTTCGTATCTTGCTCTTCGGATTCTCTTGACATTGTGGTCGCTTTTGCTTCGAATCACGAGTCATCTGCCAATCGGCAATCTCCTCTCCAGGTAGAGCAGTGATCTTGATCTCATTTTCGTTTAAAAGATTTTATGTATGAATTATAATTGTTTAGGGAAAAGGGTACTTGGAAATTAATGAAAGAAACTTAATTCTTGTGTTTATCAGTCTTGCTGAGCTTGTAATACTCCATGTAAAGCACTCATTTTCCATTCGCTTGTTTGTGTATGAATTATACTTACTTGGGAAATACGTTACTTGAAATTCAAAGAAAAAAAATTGCTTCTTGTGTTTTTGAACCGTTATCTGCTGAGCTTGTTATAATGCTGTAGCTTGGTTTGGTAAGTGGAAAGGGTTTTAATTTGGGACTTTCTTTCACAATGTTGGATATTTCTTGTCAACAGGAGATCCTCCATTCTATTAATGGTAATATGCATGAATCTCTTCAAGATAAATCGAAGTTTTCTTTGTTGGGTCAGTATAGAGCTTGTCTCAGCAGTGGCCATGTGTTTTGCAATGGAGTGGAAGAGGATGATCTGAGAAAGTCCTCTGCTCACCACTTAGATGGAATCAGCAGATGTTGTGGACAATGGAGCTGTGGATGCATCAAACTTGATAGCTTATTAGACGAGTGTAAACAGATGTCTATGGAAAGCGATTACTGGATTGAGCTGGCATATGATTCTCTTCATGTTCAGGCCAGGGATATTCATTGGATTCCTAAATTGCATCGTATTCGTTGGAATGGGGAAACAGTGTCTCGATGTGATGTCCATGTATGTAAGTCAGATTGCTCCTGCTGTTTGGTTTGTCTTTAAGTTGTATTTCTTCATGGCACTTAATCTTTGCTTTTCTGTCTGTACAAATTCAGGTTATAGTCTATGAAACTCCAACATATGGTAAGCACCATTTTTCATTGAGATTCTGGAATTCTTCTGAGCATGGGAAAACTTCTCTTAAGAAGCCTCAGTGGGTTGATGAACTTCACCAAAAGCAGCCTTTAAATGACTTGGTAATATAGTTCACAACTACCTTTTGTTGGAATTAGGCCAGTTTTTTTTTTGTTTCTTCTTTTTTTTTTTTAATTTATATATTTTTTTAAAGCAGGATACTGTCATTTTGGCAATCAACAGTGCTGCTGCCGCTAAGAAATTTTTTGAGAAACATGATGGCAAGAGAGCCAGTGCTAATATTCCTATTATTTGGATGTAATCTATCCTAACTATGCTTTGTCGTTTGCTTTTGCCATGCCTCTATCAGCATTTTCTGATGTATCATTATGTGACTTTGCAGGTTTTGTGCCTTCATGTGGCATTTATTGGCCATGTCAATGGCATCATTGTCTACTCTTTTCTATATTTTTCTTCAGTTTTCTCATTGTTTTTTGAATTTTGGACCACAATCATGGGTATGTGCTGCGTCAGCAAAGGCATTTAGCAATACCTGGATAAATATTCGAATTCGTTGTTGTCAGATCTTATATTGGCCTATCTTTCTTCAGGACAATGATCTCAGGTGGCAAGTCTTTCGAATATATATGAATTCATTTATTGATATATCAAGTTCTCAGTCTGGATTGAACTGAGGAAGTTTTCAGAATAGTGCCCCTTTATGCCTCTCCTCATCATCCTGATTTTTATTGATGTTTTCTTTTAGGTCTCAATCAAGCGTGGAATGTGCAGAAAAAGTTGCATTACATAAGCATTCCATGTGGTCAAGTTTGGTTGTTGATATCCTTTTGGGAAACTTGATTGGTTTGACACTCTTATTTCACGCAGAATCTGTCTGTTTGTGGGTTTCAAAGTTTGCCAGTGACTTTACAAATGAGTTGCTGCGGTCGGGTTGTGTGTGGTTGATGGGTGTCCCTGCCGGTTTCAAGTTGAACATTGAATTGGCTGGAGTTCTTGGCATGATATCTCTTAATACGATTCAAATTTGGTCTACCCTTTGGATGTTTGCGGGTTCCCTCTTCATTTATTTCATCAAAGGACTTGCTGTATTGGCAATTGTTTTTGGGGTGACAATACCAGCTGCTTTGGTCATAGACATGATTACGATAGCAACATTACATGTGTCAACACTTCATTGGTTAATCTCAATTCTCTATTCACAGCAGTTACATGCACTCGCAGCTTTGTGGCGTCTTTTCAGGTACCACTTCAGCATTTCTCATTTAGGGTTTGATTGGCTCCTGCAATCCTGTCGTTACTATAAACTAAAATCATTTTTACTGCGTTGCGTATAATGCAAGTATCGTAGTCCCATCAATGTCATAATGGATCACTGCTACCATGTAGTAGAACCAGTTAAGAGGCTGATTTGAGGCTTTTTCTTTTTCATTGAAGTTGTATTAATCTGACCTTGAATGACTTTGGCATCTGCTGAAGGCAGTGTTTTTGTACATAGGGGTGCGGCAAAAACTGAGAAATTAAATAGAAAAGCATAAGCATATTAATAGCTCATTGTAGGTCCTAATAAACATTGATCTCTACATCTGATAATGCTGAAATATGGCTGTCATAAGATGTCATGGATGGTATTAGAGAGAGTGGGGAAAAAAAGATCTTGTGAGGATTTTCTTTTCGTGTTTCGAAGAACATAATATTGCCTGCTATATTCTATCTCAATCAAAGTGTTTTATAATGTCAATTTTTTTAGAATCCCATTTCAATGTAAAATTCTGGTTGCTTGGAAGAAGGGATCCAATGCTCTTAAAAGGCTAGCATTTTTCTTCTTTACATCCCTAATTAATATCATTATTTTGTTTTGTGTCTGTCATATCCCAACAGCTTTTAGCTGATAGAATTTAAAAGGCATACAATTTTTTTTTTTAATTAGAATTAAACTATGCCATGCCATATATCAGATATCAATGAATTAATTTTTATGTTGAAAGCTGTTCTAAGAGCTGCTGTACTGTTGGCAGGGGACGAAAGTGGAATCCTCTTCGTCAAAGATTAGATAGCTTTGACTACACTGTGAAACAACATGTTGTTGGATCTCTTTTATTTA